GGTTTAATATGGTTTCATAGTTTACCCTCAACAACCACCAACTTGATAAAAATATATAAAAATGAAAGATAACGAACGTTCACCATGAACAATAAGCAATTTCATGCCAAGTTTGATCCCTCTTTTTGTGACTGGTCCATTGACAAAGACAAGTATCAAGATCCGGCCAAGCACATACAATCAAACTGGCATGACACCAGTCTGTGTCGAGGAACTTGAGCGTGGCGATGCCTGAGCATCAAAAGGATGTAGGCTCACTCTGACGTCAATACAAGTCAGTCACCTGTTGTCTGATGTTTCTCTGCAAAACCCCCAATTCCATACGATTCCATATGTTATAAAACCCATAATTGTTGTATATTTCCGTCCCATGTTAAGGTTATTTCATAAGGTACATCCCCAATGGACAACAGATCCACGTCGAGGGGCCTTCGGAGTCGTGGACCAACTGGAGGCTGAGCGCTTTGGAGCCTGGGAATAGATCCCTCATTGCTGGGGAAACCCAATTCAGTGTTAAATATAGTGATAATATGTATGTTTACGATTGTAAAACACATTGATTTAGAATGTGAATTGGATACGTTGAAACTGAATACCATGAGCCATGTAAAGTTTTGAATATACGTAGGGACACACTTCGCAAACATGGGACAACTCCCAAAAAACAAACACTTCAAGTTACATATAATCATATGATATCATTATAGAACATCTGTGTACTTTTAATGATATCTACCAAGAGAAATCTGAACTGCCCACTGCAATGAAAGGAATCAGACACTTAGGATGGACAATAAGTCTCCTGGCACAGAATCAGATGGAACTTCTCAGCGTCAGAATAAAAACAAATGCTAAGCTCCATACTTGACTCGCTGGAGAAGCAGCCCGTGCCTTTGCCTGCCATCCAAGATGCACAGGCTTCTGCTGAAATCCATGCCCGAGTCAAGTGTCGGTACAAGACAACTTAGCCATCTTTGGCTTGATATATTGATGGTCCAAGTTTGCTTGCTGTTTGCACGTAACAACGTAGCTTGTTTTGTGACTCTACTCTACATAATGACATATCTATATATAATTATATATATATATACATCTATATATATATAGAGAGAGAGAGAGAAAGAGAGAAAGAGAGACAGAGAGGGAGAGAGAGAGAGAGAGACAGAGGGAGAGAGAGAGAGAGAGATCTCGCCTTCGTATGACTTTCACATGTAAACTGCTGATGGTAGGAATGACTCAGGTGAATTGTTTGAAGGACATTGTTCTTTGAGATCTATATTATATAAATAATACATCTTCCTTACTCAATTAAAAATAATTGAAACTGCCCCCTGGTGGTACAATACTCAAATATTCATTTGGTTGGTTTCCTGCTGCTAGATTTGAAAGCTTGGTGCTTTGACACAACGACAAACATAATAGAAATGTGCTGAGACTGCACCAGCAAACGAACACTTCATTCATGTCACACAAACTATTATAACGAAATCACACATAATCAAATGATAACATATGATATCATAATAGAACATCTGTGTACTTTTAATGATATCTACCAAGAGAAATCTGAACTGCCCACTGCAATGAAAGGAATCAGACACTTAGGATCGACAATAAGTCTCCTGGCACAGAATCAGATGGAACTTCTCAGCGTCAGAATAAAAACAAATGCTAAGCTCCATACTTGACTCGCTGGAGAAGCAGCCCGTGCCTTTGCCTGCCATCCAAGATGCACAGGCTTCTGCTGACATCCATGCCCGAGTCAAGTGTCGGTACAAGACAACTTAGCCATCTTTGGCTTGATATATTGATGGTCCAAGTTTGCTTGCTGTTTGCACGTAACAACGTAGCTTGATGACATATCTATACATATATATATACAGAGACAGATACATGTATATGTATATATATAATTATATATATATCATATATATATAGATATAGAGAGAGAGAGAGATCTCGCCTTCGTATGACTTTCACATGTAAACTGCTGATGGTAGGAATGACTCAGGTGAATTGTTTGAAGGACATTGTTCTTTGAGATCTATATTATATAAATAATACATATTCCTTACTCAATTAAAAATAATTGAAACTGCCCCCTGGTGGTACAATACTCAAATATTCATTTGGTTGGTTTCCTGCTGCTAGATTTGAAAGCTTGGTGCTTTGACACAACGACAAACATAATAGAAATGTGCTGAGACTGCACCAGCAAACGAACACTTCATTCATGTCACACAAACTATTATTCCAAAATCACACATAATCAAATGATAACATATGATACCATAATAGAACATCTGTGTACTCTTAATGATATCTACAAGCACCGTACTTAAGTCACATCAGGCGGGAAAAGTCACATCATCCCCATGGCACGGCGGGGATACGGAGAAGTCACATCAGAAGCGGAAAGTCACATCAGGGAAGAAGAATCACCATGGCACAGCCTGTTTCATCTATCATGATGCATATGCCTAAAAGTGGCCGAAGCATTGCGCACAACAGGGAAAATGGCATATACCCATATCATCTCCTCAGCTTGAAATCCTATTGGTACGGTACAGCGACCATGTGGCATATAAAATTATATAGTCTTTGAAGGAAAACACCATGGCACAGCATGCTTACATATGCGCGTTATATAAACCACAAAGTAGCCCCATTGAAAGTATGATCAAATACAAGTTCCGAACGCTGTTGCATACAAAAATTGAAGTGTTTCCAGGCGCACGGCCCCAAAACAATGAAATCGTTCAATTACTAAAAGTTGTGGTGATGCCAAACTTGAACTTTTTCCAGGCGCACGGCCCGATACGACTTTTACAAGCTGATACGACTTAACGCTAGCGCTTGTACCAAGAGAAATCTGAACTGCCCACTGCAATGAAAGGAATCAGACACTTAGGATCGACAATAAGTCTCCTGGCACAGAATCAGATGGAACTTCTCAGCGTCAGAATAAAAACAAATGCTAAGCTCCATACTTGACTCGCTGGAGAAGCAGCCCGTGCCTTTGCCTGCCATCCAAGATGCACAGGCTTCTGCTGAAATCCATGCCCGAGTCAAGTGTCGGTACAAGACAACTTAGCCATCTTTGGCTTGATATATTGATGGTCCAAGTTTGCTTGCTGTTTGCACGTAACAACGTAGCTTGTTTTGTGACTCTACTCTACATAATGACATATCTATATATAATTATATATATATATACATCTATATATATATAGAGAGAGAGAGAAAGAGAGAAAGAGAGACAGAGGGAGAGAGAGAGAGAGAGAGAGACAGAGGGAGAGAGAGAGAGAGAGATCTCGCCTTTGTATGACTTTCACATGTAAACTGCTGATGGTAGGAATGACTCAGGTGAATTGTTTGAAGGACATTGTTCTTTGAGATCCATATTCTATAAATAATACATCTTCCTTACTCAATTAAAAATAATTGGGACTGCCCCCTGGTGCTACAATACTCAAATATTAATTTGGTTGGTTTCCTGCTGCTAGATTTGAAAGCTTGGTGCTTTGACACAACGACAAACATAATAGAAATGTGCTCAGACTGCGCCAGCAAACGAACACTTCATTCATGTCACACAAACTATTATAACGAAATCACACATAATCAAATGATAACATATGATATCATAATAGAACATCTGTGAAAGGAATCAGACACTTAGGATCGACAATAAGTCTCCTGGCACAGAATCAGATGGAACTTCTCAGCGTCAGAATAAAAACAAATGCTAAGCTCCATACTTGACTCGCTGGAGAAGCAGCCCGTGCCTTTGCCTGCCATCCAAGATGCACAGATTTCTGAATCACCAAACTACTGGACTTTGTCCCATGAGCTGGACAACGAGCTCGGCTCCCAGCCTGATTTGGAGACACAGCACGGGCTTTTGCCTTAATTTCGCGTTACAAGTATCAAGTATGGAGGCAGAATCAGACATGGAGCCGTCCATTCATAAACATTGTGGCTTCACGATGAGATATGCAGTGGCAAAAGCCTGACAGGAAAAACTGTGAATGTCATAGCTACTGTTCGATGTCGCCTTAAAAACATGTTGTCAATGTATGATATATGGTGGAGAGTCTTGAGACCGGTTAAGACCCTCAAAGGATCAAAACATTGTGGATATGGATGCATCTGGATATATCTGGCGACCCAAACTAATCATTAATCAAACTAACATCCTCAACGTGATGCGACTGCGAAGAAAAAAAACTCGTGACACACAAGACAATGTTTGGTACTAAGCCTCTCAACATGTGCATTGAAAGACAATGAAAGCCGTCCTTCATCCTGGTACTCCTAGTGCTGACCGTCGAGCTCCCCGCTTGGTTCGGAGAGCCTGAGCGTGCCTGCAAGTGGTTCGGTACCTAGTAATCAAACCTCCCGGGAACATGCCATATTAAGACATATGTATTTATATTAATGGCAGATAATTTTCCTGTTCGAACTGGGGACATGTGGGAATCTCAATTGCCAGTTCAGATTACCAAAAGGTAATAGGAACAAGCTCTTTGGTATGCAAGCTTTTCAGGGAGACCCATAGATGCCGTCCGGGAATTGTATTGTCACCGCCTGAACGTTTAATCTCTCAAGCCCAAAGCCACCATGAACATGCTAAAATCTTAACAGTCTTAACCCGTTCTCAACTGCCCATCCCAAGATATGCATCAATTGGGAGTTGTCTTCTTTTAAAAAAATCAAAATCCAGGATGATTTGATATGCTTTGTTGATATAAAACTACAACATGAGTTATACCCCTCCGAATCGTCACCGGGTTACGAGTGCCCATTTTTGAACCCGGCCTGTGCTGCCCGAATGCTATCCGAAAAGGATCCCAGCGAGCCGGGCCTGACAGTCAGTAACTTGGGGAAAACCAGGCCAATTTAGGGCTACCATCTGGTTATTTAACATAGCTATTGAAAATGACCATTTATAGTGGATTTTCCCATTGAAAATGGTGATTTTCCATAGTTATGTTAGTTTACCAGAGGGTACATCCCAAAAAACCCAACCGGTTTTTGCAAGTCCAAAAACCCAACAGTTCGAAGCACACAAAGAGCGCTAATATAATTACAGTAAGTACACACACACACAGATCAGGTTGCTTGAGGTCACGTCCGAAGTCCAAATGGGAAAGTTTGAAAATTATGGAAAACCCAAAATCACATGGTCTCTCATGTGCACCATTAGAATCACTATTGGGGGGAAGATCCCTTGTTTCAGACAACCTCAGCACAACAAAAAAAAAACCTCTCGAAAAAACATGAAAAATCCCATGACATATCCCATCATATCTCCCCATATATCCCATGACATATCCATCATTGAAGCCCCGCCTTGGCCGACCCGCCGGAGAGTTGGTGGTGGAGTTGATGCTTCTGGCAGGTGAACTGGGCACTGAGGCAGGGGAGGCCGGGCGCTCGGCCTGAGTCGCTGCAGGGCTTGGGCTGGTCCGGCTTGGGAAGATAAATCCATGGTCAATCCATGGTAAATCCATGATAAATCCATGGTGAAACCCTGCGTTCATTCTCAAGTTTTGTTCATTTGGGGATCTGGATTCCATCCAATTCCATTGGTTTGAGGTGAACAAAGCTCAAAGAGAAACACTCATACCAGACAAAAAGAAGAACAAGCTGAATCAATGTCAGTCTTGGTTGATTCAGAATGGAGCCTTTCAGCCAGGAAGGGGATGCAGGATGCAAATCTGTGTTAGAACAGACCCACAAATTGTGAACAACTCCATTTCTGCAATCCAATGGCTTGGACTATCCAAGACTCAAATCTTCAGCGCAGTCGGCATGGGTCTCCCAATTCTTCTCCATTCGGAGAATTGCGTCACTTTTAAAGATTGCAATTGACCAGCAAGAGGCTTGACTTCCGGAGCCCATTTGGATGTGTGATCACCTGAAGAATCAATGACCACTGGGACCACCTCAACTCCTGGGTGAAATCTGACCACTGGGAGAGACCACTGGGAGACCCGCCGCTTTCGGTCGAGCACCAGGTGCCTTCGCCTGCAGATATCTCGATTGCCATGTCAATTTCTATGACTTGACGGGAAACGTTCAACCAGCAAAAAACTTCAGTATCTTCTCAAAACGGAGGATTGACCACAATTCATGGCCATGCATTTCAATCAGAAACAACTAAGTTGGGGTTTAACTAACATTAACATACATTAACTAACCATGGGATGAACTAAGTTCTAGTTTCACTGACATTCACTACCTGTAACCATGTGTCAGTGACAGCAGGAAACATTTTGCCCTGGTCGCCGGTGCCTTCGTCAAGGTCTTTGCCTGGAATAGGTTGATCCGGATTCATCGACACTGCAAAAAAAACTGTATAATACCAAATAGATATCTGTTATAATATCATCAATATATAATATATAGTATTGTACTGTATAATACAAAAATATATATATTATGTTACCATAATGTATCACAGTCTTATAAAATTGATCAAATTTGATCGGTTACAATAGATATGTGTACCAAATAGATTATAGTACTATCCTTCTATCAATAATATTGTTGTATGTCCATCAATACCCCGTAAAATCTGGAACTGAACCCCAAGAACAGGATTTGAAAAATCATTTTATTGAAAATGGCCATTTGTTTGGATTTGTCGGAAAATAGGATACAGTACCCCAAAATTTGAAGGAAAATCTCACAGTTTGGAAAACAATTGTCCCCGTTGCTCAGTGGCCACAAAATCTGCGTACATATCCAGTGTGAGACCAATCCACCTTGTAATGATGATGGAACCCCACTACATAACATTCTATCTTTACGCTTGCTAAATACCCCCAATGACACGCGCTGTCTATTCTTATTCCGTGTCTGTTGTGAAATCCCCATCTAAATCCCAAGTGTTAGTTTTATCATGTTTTATATCCCCGGATATACCATTACATACGTGTATATATATACACACAGTATGTATCCCCCTCATAGGGCCATCACATTATTTGATCTTCTAGCGAACCATGGCTGGACGTGGCCTTTGGCTTGGCAGCAACAGACTTGGCCTTCGCGGGAGCAGCCTGGGGCGAGGCGATGCCAGGCAACCAGTTTCCAAGTTCAGGGATCTTCTCAGGTTCGCGGAATGAGAAAAACTTAGAACGTGGACAACATTGATAATGATGATTCACTACGCATGCAATTCATATCAAATACCAGTATGATCAAAATCCCCAAAATTGATGAAGCGTTCCAAATCTGCCAGGATATCCAAAAAGCGCTGGCCTCGGGTGTCTCTGCAACTTCCGCAAATCCATCGAAGGCCTATGGAGCGAACAGGGTTCACCAGTCTGGCCCCAGTCCTTCGCATGCACACTTAATACATACATGATGTATGTGTATGCAAATAATATGTACATATACGTGGAATAAATAAGCGCAAAACACATACATATTCATGCGCATATTCTCTATATACATATATATATTATATACATATTTATATACGTCTATGATTAGAGCTCATTTGATCGTTTTCTTGTTTGATCATCTGCCTGTCCAGCTACCTATCCAGCCATCCATCCATCCCAGTCAAGAGAACATTTAAGCCCATTAGTCATATCTCTGCTGCACGTACCCATGACAAAACACTTGTGGATAAAGATCAACAATAGGTAAGGCGGATATCAACAGAGGACCAGCTCGATTGATCTTGGGATATAAGCATAATTGTCATAGATCGTGATCGAAACAATGTTATTCCGTCATTTTATATAAAATTATACCCAAAAAATGGTGTGTGTGTGTGTGTATCTATACATAATATATATATATATATCATTAAACCTACTACAAGTTTCATTACTGTATAATACGTGTGTATATATATATGATCATTTAGTTTAAGTCATCTCTCTAATCATCTTATCACTATTTATCGTATCATATATGATATCTATATCAGGTTTATCATCTATCATATACCATCTATGTCTACATGATGGTAGATCATCTAAATCCTCCATTATGTATCGTGTATATGTGATATCATAGTAGATCTGGCTAAATCATAGTAATTCACCTGAAATAAGGCTATTTGGGGATGATTTTCCTTACTAGCCATCATTCAGAGTGATGTCGTAACGTACTGAGGTCGGTATATCATAACTCATCTAAATACATATGTATATTATATGGGTGTGCCTGAAAATGGAAGTTTAACCCCCCAGTCATGCATCAAATAGTAGGGAAAATGATGCTCTAAACCCATTGGAATTTGGTGGATGTTCCCCGAAATTCTCAGGTACCGAACCCATTTCCCATTAATGGGACACATTACTATTCCAATACATATATATATAATAGTGTTGGTTAAATCATGTTACTGTAAGTCCTCAATTTTCGTGGTTATGAACCTATGGACAACCCATTGTTAAGTGGGGATTTAACCAACTATGAATCAAGGGATAAGGGAGAATCGCCATTCTGAATGATATCAATCACCAATCCAAGGATATCACCAATTGTGGTTGGGATTTATATATATACAAATATAAATTATCTATATATATAGGGAATAGTAATGAGATATTCACCATCATACCAAGTATACTATGGGATATATATGGATATATATATATAATTTATATTTACCATCTGGTTATTTAACATAGCCATGGAAAATCCCTAATAAATGGAGGTTTCTAGCTGGGAAAATCATCTATAAATGAGCCATCTATACCATGGCTATGTTAGTCATAACCAGAGGGTAAATACAAATTATATATATATCTCATAGTATACTTGGTATGATGGTGAATATCTCAAAAATCTATTCCCTATATATATACCAACCATTGAGTTATCCCTCCATCCAACCGCGACTCGCCCAAACCTCGGCCCCAAAGGCATCAAAGGCATCCGCATCGCCGAAGAAGCCCGGCGCGGCGCGCCGGGGAGAGGCGCCAGAGGCGCCAGAAGCACCTTGGACCTGGCTCCATGGGAATGTCCCAGATGTTTTATAGTGATTATAATGATGATAAATCTATTTATGGACAATAATCTATAGTTAATATACCATATATATCCAAATTTAGATGATAAATCTGGGCAAAAATTATAATATATTATAATGATTCACTAGCCTGAAATAAGGATCAATAAGGCCATTTTGGGATGATTCCTCTTATTAACCATGATTTCAGTGAGGTCGCAGGGAGGTCGTTATAATTTGCCCAGATAAATATGATGGGATGATGATTTATTTAAGATTAACTATGGAAAATCAGCATTTTTGGCAAATCCTCATGTTGATCATCTATTTAAAAAAATATGGGCCACGGCTTCGATAGCAAAGTGTTAAATAACCCGAGAGTAAAGCTGCAAAGTATATCATCGAAATGGGAGTTACTGGTACAAACTGGATTTTAATGGCCGATTCCAATTTTGAGATTTGACTTTATGATAAAGCGACAAAAAGGGAATTGAATCGTTGAACATGGGAATCTGATCATAGAAAAATATAGAAAATGGCAAATTGCCGACAATAAGTAGTCAGGAATACTGCCGTTTGGTAGATGATGCCTCCCTTGACAGTGGGGCCCACATAAGTGACCCCTTGCGATTCAGGCTTGTTGAGTTTCCAATGACTTGGCAAAGTCTTGCAGAGAAATTGGGCTGTCACACTGCGAATTCAGGACTGGTAGGGCTACCCAGAGTGATGGCGTCCTGTCATCTCTGCAGAAATTGAAGTATTCAACTGAAGGTATGTGCAGACTTGTGCAGAAATACGTTCCAGGTTTTGCAAGTGCATCTTAATACGACCATCTCAACAACTTTCGCAGTGGTGATTTTACAACCTGCCATGACAAGATGTCCTCCAGATCGCTGTCATCGAATAGCAAATTTCTCCTGTTTCCTCAGCTCAATGGGTGGTGGAAACACAATCAAAAGCCTGGAGTCTGCGATACCTGCACCTTGCTGTTGGTCAGAACCTGAACATCCTGTGGCTGAAGCTCCGCCGAGGATCCGCGAGTTGGTGAAGTGGCCTTTGGCAGTGACACCACTCTTCTTGATTCCTCAAGACACAAGGAAAATTATGGGAAAATTGTAGGAAAATACCAAAAAATCAGACCTGGTTCCTCACCAAAGAGTTGTGTACACCGGATCCAAAAGGCCCCCGTGGCGCTGGCAACGATGTTTGCCAAGAGGCAACATCTGAGGTGCCACTCTCATCGGAGAAAAAGGATGATGCCATGGCGCAAACGATTTCGGTTTCTGGTTACGGCGTCACCTCTCTTGGTTGATTACTTGAGCACTTGGACCTTTGACAATGTTTGACGCACTTTGCATCTTTGAGTCTACCAAGACATTGTGTAAGCGTGTGCAGTCAGGGCGATTCAATATGATTCAACTATCCGGTCGGATGTGCACCCACCAGACCATCACCTGTATTGGAGACCATCTCATGCATCCTCCAAGTTGGTTGCCTTCACAGTCCGCGGCAAAAGGTGCTTGATCTTTGCGCTGTCACGGTCAGCTGGGAAGCGCAGTCATCTCTGGGTGAGTTAAGTCTACCTGGGTCATTCTGGGTCACTGGTGCCTGCATGATGTTTGATCATGTTCGGCCCTAAGAGCCTCCCGCTTGACCCAGGAACGATGCGCGGGCAATGCGCCGAGCGCAAGATTTTCTGAAGCGATCCATAACAGTGGAGGGATTCCACCAGTCTCTTTCGTCACCAGAACACAAAATGCCCCCATCTCCTCCCATAATCTATCTACGTACCATCTACTACTCCCATCTACTACTTCCATGCCGTTCCACCACAGGGCGGGAGGCACCAGGGAGCATTGCTGTTTCACCTCCGAGGAGCCAAAACCTTGCAGCAGGGCATCTACATCTGCCTGGCGGGCTGAGCACTACTGATTTTAATGGACCTCAAAGGTGTTATCATGCGATTTGAACTGACTTCAGTATGCCAATATACGTGAATATGGCTGAATATTTATACGTGAGGATTGGCTTCAAGATGTTGATTGGCTGAAAGATGGTGTGAATCCTCCTTGCATGGCACCACGGGCAGGTCAGGATATCAATATCTGAATATACTGAATATAATATAAACATAATATAAATATAAATATGAATATGAATATAAATATAATATAACATAATATAATAAATATAATATAATATAACATAATATAATATAATACAATATAATACAATATAATACAATATAATACAATATAATATATACTGTGTATCATAAGATGCAAACATATATATATATATATATACATTAGCGCTATTGCTGTTATTGCTATTGTTATTGTTCTAGTATCATCATGTTTGTTCATGGTATCATTATATACATATTCTATATATAATAATTCATATAATGTATGATACATATATCATACCTCAATGTGCTGAACCCCCAATTGAATTCTGAATCAAGAAGCATAAGCGCTGTCAGGGCTGGTTCCATTTCGGCGGGGGCACCTCTGTGGCAGGCGCGCCACGTTTCATGGCAAGTGCCAATTTCGATGTTTCATGGGTCTGTCTGAATTGGGCTATACCACCAATAGCCATTCAAATAGGGAAAATGAGGATTCACCAATGGATTTATGGGGTACCTTATTTTCAGACAAACTCTTAATTTTTTCCCTCCATGCAAAAAAAAATATCATCCCATATGGCCCATATCTATCTCGTTTTGTCAGGCTTTCAGGGTAGACCCACCTTTGCAGACTCAGTGCTTTGCTGTTCTTTCAAAAGCAGTTTTACTGAGAACAAAAAGGTCATGTTCCAAACAGAAGTTCCTATATGAAAAAAGTAATGTTACTAATTAATCAGGTAAACCCCACACCCAACAAACCATTCCCAATTTTGGTTTATTGGGCATTCCCCTTACCGGTGACTTCTTCGCTGTTGCATCCTCTCCACACCTCTACAGCCACTTGGGCCGAAAGACTCGCCGCAACAGTGCATCAAAAGCCATTGCAGCTATCGGTTTTGGAGATGTGTTGTTTGTTCCAAGGACGGGGGATACCCCACGTTATACGTATAGCAAAGAATAGGAAAATGAAGTGTCGAACCCTTTGAATTTAGGGCATTTCCCTCACAAAGCATGTGAACAAGCCAGTCCTGAGCAACTTTTTCAAAGCAACAGCATATCGGGCTGAAAATTCCCAGTCGATCTGGTCTAACATAGTGAGACGGCTGTGTATACTGAAAATCTGGGCGGAAACCCGGACATCGGAGGACCAAGAGCAAAACTGCCAAGCAACTTCATAGCGATGTAGATGTAGATAGCAGCATAGTGACTTGACCCATTGTCAATTCGCTGTGGCTTTTGAAATCGGTGCGAGCCATGTACTCAAGAAGCACCATCATTTTTGGATGAATCATGATAACTATTTCACAATTGGGCACGCTACTTGCCTTGTTAAGGATCACTACCCGGACTGTTCCCACTTTTGCCAAACTCTCCAGAGATCTGCGTTTCCAGTACCCAGGTGAAACCGAGCCAAAGCCAGTGTGAAAATACCCTGCGAAACTAGCAGTAGAGCCTTCTCCGAGCAGCTTCGCAAACGCGGTGAAAACTGCGTTGGCTGACCCGTAAAATCAGGGCAGCCAAAGCGGACATCATGGGGATATATCATGATATATCGGAGATAAGCTACAAATTTGGGAGGATTAACTTACAACAATCCACTGGCTGGTTTAGGCAATTTGGGATATATATATATATATAACATTATTATTATGTATTATGTATATAAATATGTATATATATATTATATATATATATGATATTATATATATACACGCTATTTTTGGCATAATCCCCGTTGAATGGGAAACCAGGAGACGTATCTCTGTCCGTTGGGTGCTCCATGTCATGCTGTGGGCACTCGCGCTGCCGAATGTTGCCTTTTGTGCTGCCACTGTTTGTCAGCACAAGATGTCATTTCGGGCGAATGGCCTTTGAAAATCCCCAATACATTGGGTAGTGTACCGCCCTATAGTCACTATAGTCACTAACCAACAGGGGAGGTTGGAACAGTGGTCAAGTGTTTCCTAATGTTTCCTAAACATCGAACAACATGATGCTCAAACCGCAAAGTCCTTCGCTGTGTTCTCACCGCGTCGGCGCTATTGCTCATCACCTTGGACATCATCCATAAACACAAGGGCAACGATGAATCTATGGCTGGACATATTTTGGGGGGTCACACCTCCTGCAAATCTAAGAGCACAGTACCACTGATCGTATTGATCAGGCACGACAGCTTCTAATATGGAAGCAAACACTTTGATCATCTCAGATACCCCCTTCCTTTGGGCAAACATCATTCATTTCAGACAAACCACACAAAAACAAAAAAAAAGTTTTCTGTTCTGATTTAAATCACCCAAAAAATGACCAATCTGGTGTACCCCAAGTTTAGCACCCTGGTGCGCACCTGCTCTAAGCAGCTCCAAAGGATGTGTGGTTCGACCTTGGACGCTGCCAGCATGGGTTTCAATCACTGTCATCCTCATCCAGCCATGAAAGGTCAAGCGCAGAACTTAGATGTGCAAATTTGTTGTACACAAAATTATGTGTATGTAAAAAATCATGTAAAAAATCATGGATTTGAAAATCTCCTGGTCTCTTGGTCTTGGGACAAGCCTTGAATGGTATGATGCACAGGCACTGCGCATCGACAGAGCTTTACCTAGAGGAAACGGGAGATTAAACTTGATTACAGTAAACAATGCTTCCCCTCTTGTACTCCAAATCCCAACCAAATTGGAGGATATCTTCATTTATTAAAACATACTACGAACACTTTTGCTTTTTAGTACATGTTTGATGTCCCAGTGTGACATTGATAGAACTGCTAGAAGCTACAGTCTCACCAATCTCGCCCAACCTTCATCCGGAGGCACTGCCGCATGCCTACGCCGCTGGAGACGACGCTGTGCCCGGCGGAGGTGAGGGAGGTGGCCCTCGGATGAGCGTCCGCTCCTGTGGCGTCAGGAGAATCCCCAAAAAGGGATGACAGCTGATGGCAATCTTAGTCCATTATAGTCGTCCATTTAGGGCACAATATGGTACAATAAAATCAATAATATTGTAAACCCAATAATCACATATAATCACCAAAAATTGATGGCTTTTCAAGCATCCCCAGTCATGGTAGCTTGATTGTTGGGCCGCCCACATTGAACAGCTATGAACATCGCACGGCTCCTGTGGTGTTTGATACGCCCGTCGAACGCGGGCATCTTCGTCCTTCTCTTTGCGCCTTTGTTGCCGGATCATCCGGCGCCTAGGAACTGGCGGATTGCTGGTGATTTCACATGGAGAACAGTAGGAATCCTCAGTTTTTAAGGGTTACCCCCATAAATTGATAGTCAGGATTATATAATTAGTTCGTTCTTGACATTACAACGTGGCAATATAGTAATGTTGGAACTTCTCAAAATACCTCGAAATATCTAAAAGTGACAAGCCTCTCACATCCTGGATAAAGGCCGTCAGTTCTTTAAGCTGAGGGACGCTCATTCGCGCACAATAAGAAATAGGACATTTTCTGGCCACTCAGTCACTGCTGTTGCTGCTGCGGCATGCAACACCTGCTGACAGAACCTGTGAATTGCCATTGCCATACCTAAGCCACTGACAGTTTCGTTTTGCTGGTGCCGCCACGTCATTTTCTCCAGCGAACCTCACATATTTTCATGGTATGATAAATTTTATCACTTTATCATATTTTATCACCATTGAAGCATGCTGCATCATGCCATCTTTTTTGGTTGAATCCTTTGGCGATGCAAACGAAAACAACCTGCACAGCACAAAACCAATCTGATCTGCACTGCTTGCGCCGACGCCACTAAAACAGACAGGTACAGGCCCAAGAATCCCAAGAGATGTTTTGTGGCTGCGTTTCTGTCACTCAAGTAAACAGAAATCAATTCAAACAAACACAATAAATAAACTCCATTTTGGCTGACGCTATGGCCGGCCAGGGCCAGACCCCACCTGGAGATACATAGGCCCAGGTGCTTCACAAAGAGGTGAAACGAACATGGGGCCTGGCGGAAAGATGTGACCTGGTGAATTGTCTACACCAGGATACACCCACGAAATACGAGACCATCTATATATTTTTTCATATATATATATACATATGTATATGTGTACATATATATATATACTATATACTATACACTATATACTATATACTATATACTATATA